GACAGACAGACAGACAGACAGACGAGACTCCTCTCAAGTTTTTACTAGTAACTGAATTCTTCCTCCTCCTCCTCCTCCTCGGCTCCTCCGCCTCCTTCCTTTCTCCTGCTGCTGCTGCCGCTGCTGCTGTTGATGCGACTATTGCCCAGCTACTGCTACTGCTGATCCTACTTCGACGAAGACGGCGGCGACGACAATGATGATAGCAGGTGATAGCTTTCATAGTGTAGTACTGACACGGTCTGTGCGAACACCTCTGGCTTTAAAATTGCTCTGAATGCGAAGGAGGAGGCATGACGGACTATCTGTGAAGGGCGTTTGCTCCCCCTCCCTTCTCTCCCCTCTCCCTCCATACATTGGACATCGTGCAAGCAAGAGCACTTCCTCAAGGTGGCTGGCCGACTCACACTCTGTGTTTTGCTGTGCTTCGGGGTGCGGGCTCGAGCCTTCGTTTTTGATTTTGAGCTACAGGGCAACGGCCCGGGGTTTGACAGCGGGGTTCGACTTCTTTCTGGTCGGTCACCCAACTATGAAATCGTGGAGAACCTTCTTTGGACATGTATCGAAAACGTTTTCATTTAATTGAATAGGTGACCACTCAATTCAAGCTGGTCAGGTGGGGATGTCACCACTGCGGTTTGTGGTGGACACCGCTTGCCACCACTCCGTCATGAAGGAGACGATGCCGTTGCAGGGACTGTGACCCATGACCTCGTCATCTTGTCTTCAGGAGACCTCTGTAGCTGTAGACAGGCCGAAAAAGACAGATGGGAGAACGGGTAAGTTGCATACCTGACAACGAGATCAGATTTGGGACGGAAGCTATTTTGTTTGCGTATGTTTGCGTGAGTAAACCTACATAACATGCATCAAGCTGTCTGTATTCCTTTGTGTAGAGCACGCTGTGGGTTTCATTTCCGAGGAGTCTCTGGCCAACAATCTGTTCCAGGCCTCGTCTCTTTTCCCGGCCGGAATTGGGCTATACTGCGTGTTGAGATGTGTTGAGGTTCAGAAAATAGGGGACCCTGATATAGGACCCTAAATAGTAGGATCCTTGCTATAAGGACCCCTAAATAGGGTACCCTAGTTTTCTGAAACTACCATGTGTTGAGGTTCAGACTCTCATAACTTTTCTGCAGAGTCGCACCCGCCCACTCGCACTCTACGCGTCCCGAAGAGGCAAAGTTCTGTGGTGCGCCGGACTGGGCTCAGGAGGAGGCCTGCTTTCATCATCTTGGGGCTCTTGCCATCGGCCGAGAGCTGATAAGTTACCTATAGTCTCCATTGTAGTTCCTTTTTTTGGTTTAACCAATTATATAGTAAGGATCCTAAAAGGAAACCCCAAAAAGGAACTACAATGGAGACTGTAGGTATGAGCAGGAGAGCAGAGGCCATCAAAGACGGAGGTCGTCCAGCTTAAAGGTTTAGAGGGCTCTGTTCCGGCCACCAATGCTTCTGGAATTGCTGTTGTGGCTCAAGTGTTCCACAAAATCCCACCCCACCTCACCAAGGGCAAGAAAGTAGGCTCCAGTTCCCCACATGGGCTCGGTCGCCGTTTCATGTTTCCCTGACAATTCCTACATGTAGAGGCTGACTAGAAACTTCTTTGCAGCTGCCTGGAGCACAACGCTAAATAGAGGCCTTAGCGCTAGACAGCCAAACAGACAATCAGACTCACAAACACGAGCAAGTATACTGAAGGATTGAGCCCGCTTTGCTGCTGATGGCTGAACCTCCTCGGGACATCCCTGGTATCCCGGACCTACCGCACCTTCGCGGCATCAGTTCACAGCCGCAGCGTTCTGTGGCACGCGTGCACCCCGATGACGCCTATCACCCCTTCAACTTGAAGCCCTGCCATGTTTTGAAGAAGGGACCTCTGTACACGCCACAACTGCTGCACCAATTGAGGGCCTCAACCGACATGCGGTCGCAGGAGCAGTGCCGAGATGTACTGACATGCTGACCAACTGCGTATTGCACGTCCGATCAATCGAATGTTCTCACCACCTGACTAAACAGACAAAGCAGTTGCAGTCATGGAGTATTCGTGATTCGTGTCCCAAGCCGAAAAGACGTGCCTGTTCTGTTACGTCGTCTTACACTGATGGCGAGGTTGCACAATTCTCATGTCCTTCCGGAAATTTGAGAGGACGGCCAGTGTTACGGCGACGAGTCGCAGACGCTGCGCACCTGGCTGTCGGAGGACGTGGAAACATCTCGAACCAACTTCCCGAAAAGCTGACAACATCGCTAATGTATCCCCTTGTAGTCCCTACGGTTGAGCTACACCACCAGTAGGAATAGTCAAAAAATCCTTAAAGCCTTCATTCCGAAACTCCGGCTCTACAGGAGCTGGCCAGGCAGAACGCTGCCCTCTGCCGGCACCTGGACCAGGCCCTGGAGAAGCAGGCCAAGACCCAGAAAAGCGGCTCGGAGCGGTTTAGGGTTTAGGGTTTAGGGGGATATCTGTTGCACATTGATATATGCATTCATACATTTCACATGTATAATATATATATATATATATCTACATACTCAATATAGCTGGTATCTTTTGACCGGGCACTGCATAGCCAGCCTCTGCCACTGCCTAGGTGCTCTGGAGCAGCTTGCGAGGTGCCTGGGCTGCACATGCCCGGATGTGAATGCAGAGTTTCAGGATGTCATGTGGCGGTTTCCGAAATAAGGGGTACCTTATTTTGGGGTCCTTATAATAAGGATCCTACTATTTAGGGTATTGAGTCCCCTACTTTCTGAAGCCCCCATGTGAAGTAGGGGCAAGGTTATAGGGAGTAATCCTGAGGACGAAGAACTCCTAGATCAGAACATCAACCTGCAGACCGAACTGACCGAACAGAGCCTGAAGCCCAAGACCCATCCAGTGTCAGCTTCGTTCGACACTCTGTGCAAAACTAGAAAAAGGCATCACATTGAGTCTGCTGAGAAAGCAGCGTTCTCTGAAACGTATAACCCTCCGACGCAAATCAAGCAAGTCGGTGAAGAAAATCTCGAGGAATTTCAGCTCCACAGAGAAGCACATGAACGATCTCCGGATGGCTGGCCCCGCGGTCCGCAAAGAATCATGTGCAGCAGCTCAAAGTGGTTAGTACCTCCGAGCCTCAACCGCTGCCGCATGCCCTGCCCCACCCCCGCCGCCGTGGAGTAGGGCTTGTGTTTCTTGCATCTCCCGCCTGCGCAGCGGGCGTTGGTGCACACGTGTTCGGTGTGCGTAGAGGCTACTAGAGATTAATCTCCTCGCGCGATCTTTTAACTTCCAACATCTTACAGGCTATACGACATCTTCAGACCCCATGAACCCCCATGGCTTGAGAAAGCAGGCATAGCCATGCCTGCGCCCGGGAAATCGGACTCAAAGTCGGCATCAGGCAGGGGATGTAGGGCTTTCTGCAACAGTGGGATCCTGGCAGTTGCTGCGCAAGGGCTGCACAGAACGGATTCTTCTGCCTTGTCCTTCACATCCCATCACAGCAGCAGCAGCAGCAGCAGCAACCCCCCCCTTTCCAGAACCTCGACAGAGTTCCGAGATCACTCAGTAAGCTTTCGAAGTTACCGCTGCTCCAACGGCAAATCCCTGTACTACGAAATCGGCTTGGCTTGGAGAACCCTCAGTGCCCCACTATCCGATTGCGAATCGGCCGACAATCTCGAAAGTCTCGACTTTGACTTCATTCTCCCACGTCAGGGCTCAACGACGCCCCACCCCTGCCGAATGCCACTTCATCAAGGAGCCGCAACTCCTCAGGCAGCTTTGATGAAGTCACTTAGGTATTGCTTGAAGCTTGAGCAAGTGACGATCATGCCTGGGATAGATGCATAGTTGCATACATACATACATACATACATACATACATACATACATGGAGTGTCCGAGGGGGTGAAAAAGCCGTACGGCTTAAGCATTCATGAGAGGCGCGGAAGTGACATAATCGAGCCTTGCACATCCTGCTCCTTTGCAGATACGTCGAGCCTGAACACAGCGTCCACAGAGGAGGTGCAAGTTGCTGCTTGTTACGGGTATAGGCGCTATAGGCTACTATTTTGTGTCTGCTGTGGGAGTCACTGCGGCTTCTAATCAGCAACAATCTTATGTCGTGGTTGTCTTCTGAAGACGTGGTCATTTCTCGGTCAGTGACTATGCTATTTTGCTTGTTATGGTGGGCCTTGTGCAGATATGTAGTCATATGCTGATGTGGGACTTCAGTACCTAAACCTAATTTAGCCTAATTGTTCCTTTCTCAGGGAGCTAGACCCCCGCGACTGCTTTCAGTATCACTGTAGTACCATTGGTAAAGGGTAGCATGATCATTGACATGACCGCCAGTTCACATAGCTACGTGTGTACATGATCCTGTGGACAGAAACCTGAGCCTTTTGAGCTCTGTGACGCATATAATATTCGTGAGCCGGAAAATCGTGCTTGTTTGCACATGGTGCCGTTGAGATTGGGAGTTGAGAACATGTAGAGCTTACCGCAAGGTGTTGCGCGTAAGTCGGCAACGGTGCTGCATACGGACATGCCATCCTTGCATTCGGAAATTTGCCAGCAGGTAGATGGAAACCGGCGCCCTTCCAGGATGGAGAAGGTGCCTGACAAATTCAAAGCGAGGGCTCCACGGTTCTTCATAGCCGGTGTGCCAGATGTCGCAAACACGGCACGCGGTGCAACTATCCATCGATCGGCAGCCCGCGCCTGTTGCAAGTACGTGTTGCTCAGGAAACTAAGTCTGCTGCCCGGTATTCAGGAGATTATATGGGAGTTTCCGAAAATAAGGGTACCTTATTTTGGGGTCCTTATAATAAGGTTCCTACTATTTGGGGTACTATATTAGGGTCCCCTATTTTCGGAAACCTCCATATGCATTAGGCACCTGGATACTTCAGCCGTGAATTGAAAGGCGAAGTCCGGCCGGTGGTCTGTCTGTGGACTTTGCAGGGGCTGACCACGCACAACCAACCACCCAACCATTCCGCAAAGAGGGGAGGGGAACTAAGCTGGGGGAGAAGGGGCTGGGGTGCAACCACATATCGGGGGTCTACAAATCCAGAGCCCGCGTTTTACGATAGCCGTTAGCGAAGGCAAACAGCGATCAACTCAGCTTGTCCCCAGGCCTGGCAAGAAGCGCAGGCGCAGAAGAAGGCAGCTTGGAAGCTTCAGGGCATGAGAGCGTTCGTGTGCCAAGCATCCGAGAAGTCAATGGGAAGCGCCTTCGCTTCGGTGTTGCAAATTGGCACAGCATGGCGACATGCCATGTAAAGGCACCAGGAACTAAGACGGCTGCGTAGTTTCACTTACGTAGCGCTCTGCAGCAGGAGCAGGAGAAGGCCGAAAAGACTCTCGCCACTTGGCTAACCACAGGTCAGGGTTCTGGCTTTTGGGTAGAGGATGTTGCAGAGCCTATGCCCTGCATGTGGGCATCCGATTGGATTCCCGAGCAAGTTCAGTCGGATGCCTAAGTCCTAGCAGCATCTACAGGCAGGACAGGCATAGCGCAATGCGAGTCAGTGACGTAGAAATGACAAGGACGATATCACAAGTGTGAATGACATGGTGATACACGACACGCACAACTACAGGACCGATAGTCGTTTCCGCGTTGCCGAGATGGGGGACGACCCTGTTCGAACGAGCCTCGCCCCTGCTTTCCCAACTCACCCTTGCGACGTACTTCTCGCGGCTTCACGGGGCCCAAATGAGCAACATCGTCATAATCGCTACAGCTTCACAACACCTGTAGCTGTGATACCTTGCAGAAGCTGCCAGTAAGCATGAACTGAAGGGCAGAAATAATCATGCCAGTAACTCTGTGGCGGAGCAAAGCAAGAGTTCAGGAGCACCTTTCAGAGCTTCCATGCACCTCAGCAACGCCAAGTCCAAGCATTTCCAATCCCTCAAAGCTCAGGCTCAGGGGACGACCTACAATCGGCTGGTCACACGCGTCGAGATCGACTTTAAGGAGTCGGCACTTTGGCCTGAAGCACCTTCATCTTGGTCTTAAGCTATGATCAGTCGTGTGAGTAACAGTATCCATATGGCATCGCTGTAACTGTTATTATTATTGTCGATGTTAACCCGTTTTTCTCAGACTCAGTCTTCGCATCCGGATCATACAATTTCTGTATCAGCTTCGACCTCTTGTTCTTAGCACTGCTTGATCATCAATCAGTGTTGGTGTTGCGAGTAGTAGGATGGCAATGAACAGTGCAGGATATGCAAAAAGAGCAGATCAAATGAGGAATGCAGTTGCTTGCTAATTCAAGCCGTTAGCTGCTAGCGGCCTTCGGCTAGAATCCGGAGGCAACTGCCTTTCCTCATTCTGTCAGCCGGTCCTCGCTTCTGTCATGTTCAATGCAGTTGATTTTGAACGGAGGTCGTGGACGCCGTTGTTAGCTTTCTGGTTGCCCCTTGGCGGTTTGAGAACGCGTTGTTTCGAGGAGTTAGACGGCTGGGGATGCAAGTGTCAGAGTCTTATGATGGGCTTTTATCCTCCTATCGAGTGCAAAGTCCAGATTCATCCCAGGTCCTGTATACCTTCATCCTCCTCCTGCAAACCCAGTGGAGGGGCTCCCAGGCAGGATCGCTGTCCGTCTCGAAAGGACCTTCGGGGCAGAAGTTCACTTCCAAAGGCCGCTGATAGCAGTCGGATGGCGCGGTCTTCAGTTCTTTCGTAGGTACCGTGCTGCAGTGCTGGCGGTATACCTGCAATGTTACAACACACTCGTAGCAGGGCCAGAAGGAGCCGGAGCCAGTTCATCATTTAGCTTCGGAGCCAAACCCCCAAACCCCCCCAAAGCAAGAAAGCCCAGAGGCGGCGGTCATCCTCGGGCTCGAGGAGCCGGACGCCTCGTCTTGGCCTGGCGCAGCTGCCCGGTTCCATCTCTCAGCGTGCTTTCGTTTCTGTTCCTGGAAAATGTGCGGAATTCGGTGGCGGTGAGGGTGTCTAATTCAGAATAGTTCAGATGCTGGGATACTGGATGAGTTCGATCTCAAACGGCCTGTCGGAGCGCCTCGAGCTGGAAACCTCTAGTTGCAGGCAGAAGCAGCTAGCCTGCCAAAAAGGTGATTGGATCAGCTTATTTTGCAGGACCTGCGCTTGTGCTAGCCAACCTCCTGTCGTATCTAGATCTAGGGCTTTGCATGATCACTGACTGCAGACCTGCTTGGCAGTAAGGAGATGGCCTTCTTCATGGTGGACCATGTTTTCAATGCAGTGGCTGGGTCTCATCAAGGAGAGGATTCCTTTCGCCAAGTGCTCACTCTTCATTCTCAAGATTTATGGAGATGATTTCTCAAAGTGTGTTGTAATGCCTTGTAATCGTTCGCAAGGGTAACTCTAGGTTGACACCGGCAATCCGTGACTTACCAAGATCTTCGTTCTGGAGATTGCATGGCGCTTGTACGTGCACAAGCTCCAATTTCTTTGCGATGTCTTCGGCGTCTTTGACGTGCTTGTCGTGGTAGCCACCAGCATCGATGTCTACGTGCTGTGGCTTGCCGGGATGGTTAGTTCGACGAGCTCCACCCTTGATTCAGTTTTAGCATGAGGGCGGCCATGACGTGGTTCTGCTAGTACTGACATTTTGGTTTTTGCACCCGCATCTGCCCAAGCCGTGCCTGAGGCAGCCGTTTGATGCTGGGTATGCCCAAAATTTCGCCGTTGGGCGACTGACTCGCATCTTCCGCCTGATGCGAATATTCAGGCCGGCAGAGCAGGGCATGTCTGCAAAATCTCCCTTGTACTTCTTTATCCTGTGACACCAAACGAAGGTAAGCTGTTGTCGTGGCACAGTGTACTTAGCCGACACGTACAAGTGGTTAGTACGATGCATGACATCGCGACCCATTCCTGGCGCAACGGTCCTAGGATAAATACAGAAATACATACGTACATCTATAATATATATATATATATATATATATCTATATCTATATCTATATCTCTATATCTATATATATATATATATACATATACATCAGTACATGTTGTCATCTGTGTCATGTATTTCCTTTCTGACCATCTTCTCCTGACTTGATTGCTTAGCCCAGTCAGAGTTCAAGCACGATGGAACGCACACACATCCGCACATGAGAGAGCAGATTCGAGCTGTTGTAATGTCAGGGTTCTTCGAGTGATGCGCTTCGCCAAGAATCTGCAGCAGCTGCCAGCCTGCTATAGTCATGCCATGTTCAACTCGCTGGAGCAGACCGGAGTCAGCAGCCTCACCAAACCAAGCTTGCTGTGAGCTTTTGCTAGAACAGAAGAGAATTCTGGAATAGAGACGCCCACCACGCACCATAATGTGAGGCTCCGACTGCTTGGAGACGTCCTGGTCGCCTCCTGAGGGTGAAAGCTCCACAGTTGTCATTCCCTGACAAATGAGACTTGATACAAGGGCATGCTCTGGTTCGAAGTCGCTTCTGTCGGCACGTTGTGCTAAGTCCAAATGCTTGAGCCCATTGATGTGGGCTTTGCTGGTCGCGACCTCGGTGCACATGCTTGCCCGTGACGGTCTGCCGCTCGGGGCCTTGGCGGATTGTGAGCATCGCACACCGCAGGTATGTAAGAAACTCTCATGTGATTTGCCGAAGCTCCTGCCTAGCTTGCATCCTTGCAGGTACTGGGCATCATCATGGTTGGCACGGGTGTCTTGATGTCACAGCTGCTTGTCGAGCACGTCCTGGACACCACGGCCGATGAAGAAAACCGAATGTGGGTCTACGCCTCTTGGGCCAATACTGGCTTGTTTAAGGAACCCGAGCTTGACACGAAAACACACACACACACACACACGCACATACACACACGCACGGACACACACGGACGGAGACAAAAACAAGCAACTGTGACAGAGACGCACGAGGCTGTGGAAGCTGAGGGTCAAGGCTTCTCAGGCGTTCTGGCGGCCTTGAACTTTAAGCTTTAAGCATCTGGCTGCATGCTGTGCCCAGAATTACTACGGGAACGCCATCAAAGCCACGTACTCCGTCTTTGAGGCGACCTTCTCGGGCTCCTGGCCCCTTGGAACCGATATTCAGATTGAAACATCACAGCCATTGAAAGAGCCAAGTGGGAGTTTCCGAAAATAAGGGGTACCCTATTTTGGGGTCCTTATAATAAGGAACCTACTATTTAGGGTACTATATTAGGGTCCCCTAGTCTCGGAAACCCGCAAGTTTAGATTATGTTACCTTTGGTTAGTAGGGAATGGAAGAATGGTAGTAATAGTAGCTATAATTGTACCCCATTCCTCCATTCCCTACTAACCAAAGGTAAGTTATGTTATGGTTCTTGCAGCCAGGGCCTGGTAAGTCGAAGCCCTTGAGGCCTCTGCTAGCGCGGCCCTTGATCCACGAGGTCAGCGAGTGGCCCCTGAGCTTGAAGTACTTTAAGGGGGGATATGGGAGTCTCCGAAATTGGGATACGTCATTTTGGGGTCCTTATAATAAGGATCCTACTATTTAGGGGACTATATTAGGGTCCCCTATTTTCGGAAACCCCCAAAAAGGGGCGGGTCAGGCTGGAATACGACGACGAGGCACTAGCAACTGGAGGTATCGATTGGTACCAGAGGAAGATGTCATGGGGAGGACATCCCTTATGGCGAGCCACAGACGGTTCTTGGCTGCCGCCTCTTGATCATTGCCGCTTATGCTCTGCTGCGATTGATCTCGTAAACAGTAAGCTCACGAATTATGCACGCAGGACCTGTAGTTCGCCAGCACGAATGTAGGCCACTAGCCGCACGAAGAACAAGGGAGCTGCGAATTCGGAGTCTGCCTACAACATGAGCGCAGCATTCAGAGTGAATTCTTGGACTCAACTCAGGTTCTGCCTCTTCTGGATCGCGTATCAAGTCGCTGCTCACCTTGCATTAGCGATGTCCGGGGACCCCTGATCCTGGGGTCTGTCCAGGGCAGGTCAGCCAAGCCCTGGCCTGCCTTGGCTCCTCTGTGTCTTGTGTTATTGATGATGTTCGATAGACTGCAGCAGCTAGTCGCCAGTCTCGGCGCTTTTCTGTCAGCCGAACGTGAACCTCAGCTTTTGCTGTACGAGGTGGTTTTAAATTTCAACGGGGCTTTTGATATTGCCTATTGAGGTCATCGGTTTCGCGGTGATGCGTGTCATCGGCGCATTGTTCCTGAACGAAACGCACCTCGGACCTCGAAGGTATCCTCTTCTGAAGCGTTGCCTTTTGTGGGAGTTTTGTCAGTGTTGCCGTGTTGTGGGTCTTTGTCTTCCACGCGCCAGGTGCTAGTAAATGCTGCAGTGATGAACTGATGGCCGGTCATAGTGCAAAGTGTGAAAGTGAAAGTCTGGTCGTCGACTAGCGTCGCATCGAACCGCAGCCAAAAGTTGGAGCGAGATTCGTTTGCGGACGCCAGCCCTTCGCAATGCTCCAAGGATCCGTGCTGCTAACTCAGACGGTGAGGCGGAGGCCGGGACCATGTTGGAAATATGGAATTCCTTCCGGCTTTGACGGCAGAACTGTAGCTGCTCACAGAAGTGGTTCTGTTGCTGGAGGTACTGCGGAAGATGAAGGAGAAGGAGGCTTTCAGCCAGAAGGCCAGCCGGGATACCGACAGACCCCTCTTTGGAAGTACTGGCCGAAGTGCTCCTCAAAGACGCGCACGCGTTCAAAGATTCCGACAGTTGCTGCTGTTGCGAGACGGGAATCCTGAGCCTGCAAAGGTCTACCAATTCTTCACGGCTGCCTCTTGGCATGCAGTCCCCTAAAGAGGGCAAGGCATTGCACTGATTGAAACACCAAAAACGCTTCGTAGATGTTGGATCCATGAGCCAGCTCCTGCGGCTCGGCTCTCGTGCTCAGAGTGGAGGCTGGGCTTCACTTTTCATGCCCCGGCTTCATAGCAGTAAACATGTGCCAGAATCCTCTCTCAATTTTGTTGCCCCAGCAAGTAGACTACGAAGTTCAACTGAGCCTCGACCAACGGCCAAGCCGCATCGAAAGCCACCAAACTACTTACAAAGCCCGGCTGGCTAAGCGAGACCATGGCCGCCAAACGAGGCCGACGCTTCGGGCGACGGGCGCCTCTCTTACGAGGAGCTAGAAGCAGCCCTTCAGGCGGGGAGGGGTCTGTGGTTTTTTGTCGGAAGGTTGCATCATGGTATACGCACAGGTACGAACACAAGGTTTACTGTCCAGCACGGCCTTCCGAGGTTCCGGGCACCTTGTGCGGGCTTTCATCACGTCAACATCATACAATTGTGTGCGCTCCACCGCAGAGCCGCGTGTCACACGCTCATTGCAGTTTGAATTGGCATTATGACCGAATCACTCGGCTGTGCAATCGTTTGGTATGTTCGTCATAATGTGGCACACCTCAACTATTCTCTAATGAATCCTGGCCTCCAGCTGGAAGCATCGTTTCGCTGATCTCCAGTTTCGAGCTTTTTCTTCCAACAAACACCGAAATCCATAGTCGAACTCAGGAGCCGGGCGTGGAGGCCTGGCTTAAAGCCCTGGAGCTCGAGATACACGCACCTTGGCCGAATGGTGGTCGTACGAAGCCCGAGAAAGGTTTGGCATGTTTGGCAAGTTGTGACTTATGTTTGAGTGGTGATTCGACATGGCATCCCAAACTCAGTTAGTTTTAAAGTTCCGTTGGAATTCGTTCAGTCGTGTTTCGGATATGAATGAAAGCTGATCAACTCTGATCTAATTTCCGGCTGCATTCCATGAGCATCAGAAGCAGCAGTAGAAGTAAGCAGTTGTTCGTAGACGCAGGGGGTAACAGAGAATAGTAATGAGTTGGAGGTGATGGAGGTGGCAAAAGTTGTGCAAGGAGCAATAGCAGTAGCAGTAAGAATTAGGAGTAGTTTCGTAGTAGTAGTAGTAGCAGCAGTAGCAGGCAGCAGCAGGAGCAGTGTCAGCAGCAGTAGGCGTTGCCGTCGTAGTTTACGTAGTAGTCAGACGTAGCAGTAGTAGTAGTAGTCGTCGTCGTCGTCGTCGCCGTCGTTGTCGTAGTAAGTAGTAAGTAGTGATAGCAGTAGCAGTAGTAGTAGTCGTCGTCGTAGTAGTAGTAGTAGTAGTGGTGGTAGTAGTGGTAGTAGTGGTAGGAGTAGTAGTAGTAGTAGTAGTAGTAGTAGTAGTCGTAGTAGTAGCAGTAGCAGTAGCAGTAGCAGTAGCAGTAGCAGTAGCAGCAGCAGTAGCCGTAGCCGTAGCCGTAGCAGTAGTGGTAAG